AGAAAGACCACATACAACCACCATAAAGTTTTTCATACATGATCTCGGTGTCTGAGCCCTGTGTCCCCCAAGGTCATCCCCTCCAAGCTGTCCCCTTGAATCCCTCCAGGTGCCCACCTCGCCTGCTTACCCTTTCCTGCAAGTTACACATGCAGGAAAGAAAAGAAGGTGACATAGAAAACAGTTCAAAATAGGATTTTGTAAGGAAAGAGGACAGACTGTGTGGACACACAGCAAAAACAGGTGAAATACTCTCAGAATTGTGTGTAAGTAGAGACTAACCTAACATTTGGTATAAAACTGATGGAAGTTTTTTTTTTCCTTTCAGCTGATGGAGACCAACATACAGTCAACAACATCTGAAAATGAAGAGATAGTATTAGTTGCTGACATCGGGAGATAGCCAAGAAAAATGGAGGAGTCTGAAAGTGCATTTCTTAGACAACTGTATATTCCTGTGGAAAGTCTGGAGTAATATATAGGCTTTCTTTACTTTCTTCTTTTTCTTGCATAAAAGCATAATGCAGCCAAGAGAGAATGATACCTTATATGCAATCTTTTTAAATGCCATTGTATTTGCTTTTAGTTTTGGCTAATTTTAACTGTTTGGGTAAGTTGTCCTTATTGGATATCTTCTATTTTGTAAATATGATTGGAATATTTTTTTCAACAAGTTTTAGTTATGTTTTAATCTTATGGAAAAATAATTGTCCTTCTGTCTCATATTAAAAAGATTAATTATTAATTTATTGAGATGAATAATTTTTTTTAAATTCTGATTCCTCAATTTCATTGCTCACTGTCAAAAATAGATCAGTTCATACTAGAAATTTATTTGGAGTTCTTCAAGTACACATGGGTAACTAGAAAAATGAGATTAATTCAGATTTTTACACTAGACATTTGAGCATTGCTGTTGGATTATTAGACTAATTTTATAATGGTACTAGATGTTTTATTATTAGACTAAACATTCCCGGGACTATTTTATTGCACAGGGGCCAATTTATGTGTAAGAGTCCACACACACTCTTAAACCCCTAAATGAAGTGGACACATGCAAACTACCTTTAGAAATTAGCCCTGGCCTGAGCTAACCTCTGGACTATGTCCAGGAGCTGTTCAGGACATTACTTGTAAATCCTGGCTGAACTAATGCTGGGAACAGTTGTTCCTGGACATGTTCCAGTGCTGGGGAGCCTTCCAGTGCTGTGCTTTCTCCAGCTTATACCGTGGCTGAACACACAGCTCTTGGCACACCTATTGCCTTTGACACAGTTAATGATTACATTCTGGTCAAATGGGAAGCTTTTTGCAGCAGGTCAGAACAACAAAAAAAATTTCCAAAGGAGGCTGAATTCATGCTGGACACACTTGCAAACCATTTATGTATTTTTCCCAGTATGCAGCAGTGGTCAGAGTGGAAATGCTCACAATAACTTGCTAAAAGGGTGGTAGGGATGTAACAGGCTGCACTGGTTTATATAACCTTGCACAGCAACTCTCCTCTTGGGCAAAATTGCCAGAGTGAGGCATAGTTTGGCTCCAGTCCACAAAACCTAGCCATGATCTATGAACAACCATTCAGTGGCTCAGCCTGAGGAAGGGAATAGTAAAGTATACTAAAAGTATCAAGACGCTCAAGAGATGGCATGGGGGTCTTGTTAAGTAGAGCCTAAACAAACTGCTCATTTGTTTTCTGTTTTCTCCTGGAGAAGGACAACATATTCAACTGTTTCAGGAAAGGTGTTACAGACAGAACCCTGATGAAGTAGTCCAGGCTACAATGCAAAATCACTGAATCACAGAATTATGAAGGTTGAAAAAGACCTCCAAGAGCATTGAGTCCAGCCCTTGACCTAACACCTCCACCTTTTCAACAAAGCCATGCAACTCAGTGCCACATCCAGTCATTTCTTGAACACTTCCAGGGATGGTGAGCCACTCCTCATATGGCTTACAAATGGATCAGATAAAACTAATTCAGCCATTGTTTGGGCAGCCTGAAGGTACTGGTCAGGTGATAGTGTAATACCATCTTCACGTCACCCTAAAACCTCACCAGACATACCATCACTACAGCATGCAAATCCCCTCTCCAACATTATTCAGGAACACAGACACACACACCTTGCATCACAAATATTTGTGACATGGCAGGATGATGCTTCAGAAAAGTTATTCAAGTTGGCAGTGGTCACTGAGGTGGGTGGTGGTGCCCAAGTAGAGCACAGCTGATGAATGGACAATTTCAGATCACACTGAACTGGTACTACACATGTACTGGATGTGCTTCTTTTAGGCTGCAAAAAATAAGTAAAATAAATTCTTTAGTGAGTAGAAGATTTGAAACATGCATGTCCTGTCCCTAAGGTACTGAAAAAGCTGACAACGACTGAGCCAATGCCAGTGTGTGGTTCTAGAGACAAAATTCTGCAGCTGTGCCCAGTTTCACACATGCTGTGACTAAACTGTTACTCATTTCACTTACCTAGGTTTTTTTCACCCAAGGATTTGAAAAGGAAAATAATATTAACATGTCCTTCTAGTGGGAACCACTTGGTAAAAGTGGGCAAAACTGAGCAGTGTGAACTGAAAGGCAAAGAAATTTAAAAATTTGAAGTCTGTAGTTTGCTGTTCATGGATCTGGGCATGTACACTAGCAAAACAAACAAACAAACAAACAAACACACCCTACAATTTTGGTTCAATGATACCAGGGTTCTTCCTTTAGCAGACAAACTACTAAGGATCTTCCCTTACACCTTAGAAGCCTAGGGAATTCCTCACCTTCCTGCTATTGTGCCTGTGTTGGGAGTGAAAGGCAGGGGTTAAATGAACACCTATTTGCTAAAAGCACCCAAGAACAGCAGGAAAATTAAAAAAAAAAATCCATTACATGCAGATTACATAACTGCATGTCAGATGTCATGTAAAACAAATGGGGAAGTGACTAACAGTCCCTTCAGCCACATCTGAAGTTGCTGAAAGTTAAAGCAAATAAAATGGATTATGTCTCTCATACTTACATGACTGCAAAGATTTTTGCAAATGTAGCATTATGTTATTCAGTAAATGCTTTGGACATTTTCTTTTAATTTCTGCAGTCAGGCACATTTTCACCTAACACGATATTGTAGACTAAGATGAACCAAACAAAAACAACCCATAATCAGCAGTGAGAGAGTTCAGAAATTTGGGTCTAGTATTTTCCTTGGCATTTCTTTGCCTGCAAATATGCAAGACAGAACTTTCTTGGCTGCTTGTATATACCTGCTAAGGACTGATCTTCCTCAAAGGAGAACCTGGGCTTGTGCAGGGGCCATAACCAGCATAGACAGGCAGTCACTTTAAACATGGACCCAACACTGCTGTTATTTCTAGAACATATTATTTATGAAAATCTGTTTATATACAGAGGTGGTATTTCTATGAGCATGTTGATATACTGTGACCCTGCTGAGTATTTATGTATTTTGGGGTAATGTGTTTGCATGTTGTGACTATTAATGCTTAGTTCATCAGATATAACAGGAAGGAAGAGTTAGTTGCATGATCTCTTCATGTGAAATCAGGAAACTTAAGGAAGTTCAAAAGCAGTAAGGGAAATGATAAAGTGACCAGCTTTCTAACTTGCAGCATTGCTTAATACTGTCATGCAGTAAAACAAAGCAAACAGGGACAGCAAAACATTTCCAGATTCCTGCATGTGACTACAACTACACATTAAAGCGTCCTTTTTGCTGAGAACCAAAATCAAACAAGGTAAATGAGGAGAGTTTTTCAAGAGGAGGTAAGCCTCTCTATGTTGTGTGTTGATTTTTTTAGTGCCACAGAAGGTTTTTGCATACAAATATTTGGATACAAATATTTTCTAGGGATTATTGGTACAGTCATATTTGCACATGTACAAAATATGTGCATGTACAAATTAGTGTCCTTTGAGTTTCAGGAATTCTATAGAATATTTTGAGGATTCTTTTACCTGTTTGATTAAAAGCAAAAATGTGTAAAAACAAAATTTCTAAAGATTTCTGCAAGATCCAATGAAGATTATGAAATGTCTGTGATATATATTGCACTATTTGACATTTTTTGTCTGACATCTATTTTTCAGTAACTGAAAGAAATGCTGATTTTTGTACCCTTTCTATAAATTAACTAGAAATAGGTAGATTTCTCTTTCTTGGGGGGAGAAAAAAGTAGATCACAAAATCATGGGATGGATGAGGCTGGAAGACATCTGGAAATTGTCCTTTCCCAAACCTTGCTTAGAGCAGGGTCAGCTACAGCAGGTTGCTCAGGGCTTTGTCCAGTCGGTATCTCAAACACTGGAGACTTCAAAGCTTTCCTGGAAAACCTGTTCAAGGTATTGACTACCTCACAGTAAAGGGTGTTTTCTTGTGTTTAAATTGAATTTCCGTTATTTCAGTTTTTGCCCATTGCTTCTTGTCCAGTCTGTTGTCACCAGTGAGCAGAGCCTGGCTCTTCCTCATTCCCCACAGCTGGGTATTTGGACACATGGATATCATCCTGCTGAGCCTTCATCTCTCTGGGATGAACAACCCCAGATTTCTCAGCCTCTTCTCATGTGTCAGAGCCCTTTTGCTGGATTCCCTCCTACAGCTCCATGTCTTTCTTCTCCTGGGGATCCCAGAACAAGACTGGGCACTCCAGGAACGCTCCCCTGTCCTGCTGGCAGCACTCTGCCTCATGCAGCCCAGGGTGCCTTTGGTCTTCTGCTCTGCAAGGGCACACCATCAGCCCTGGCTCAGCCTGTGCTCTTTGCAAGATGCTCTCCGGGTGGATCTCAGCCTCTGCTGGTGCCAGGGGGTATTCCTCCCCAAGCAGAGGCCTCAGCACCTTCCTTTGCTGAATTCCAAAAGATTCTTGTCGTCCCATTTCTCCAACTTCTCCAGGTCCCTCTGAAGCAAAAATACTCACACAGCACCCACTTCTCCCAGTTTTGTATCATCTACAGGAATCAGAATACTGACCTAAAAACGGAAATTGTTGTATTTAGGCAGCAATTTGATAATAACATTTCTTGGCATGCATTGTAAGATTTCTATTCCTATTTCAAAGCTTCCAAGAAGGCTTAGCCAGTGTACAATATTCTACATGTTTCGGCAATGTATAAGCGTCAGTTTATCCTCATGTTAGCCTATGAATAAAATACAAAGTTTCATTTCTGGAAGAGTGTCATGGGCAGGAGTAATTTTCCCAGAGACACTGAAGCAAATAAGTCACTGGTCTCAGGTGACATTTTCTGGTGCCATCCTGCACTCACAGCCTAAGAGCAAAGACAATGGACTGAGAGGGTAGGAATTGAGAGTGCTTAAGTCAATATTTAGTGCATGATTTCTGTGGAAACCACTACAGGCTACCTGACAGTATTTTACTTCTGACACATTGATAAGGTGGATAGACTGGGCTTATAACAAACTGCCCTGGAGTGAGCTAAGAGTTGAGGTGTCTGGAAAACATGTGCTTGAGCACCCCTGGGGCTCTCCGCTGTGTAGCAGGATAGACACACACTTCTGAGGATGTCCAGGGGAGAAAGAGAAAAGAAGAAAGGCAGAAAAAAAAATCATCCAGTTTGGGCATTTTCATCCCAATAAGTTCTATTTTGATGAAATATGAGGACATATTGCTCACAGCAGAATATGTGTGGTTCTTCTGGTCTGATCCCCCAAATAACGCTCCCAGTCATTTTGACATGAGTGTTCTTTCTGGCACCTTCAGTACTGAGGTGACTTCAGTCCAGAGAGAGCTTTACCACACCTGTCTGAAGAAGACCAGTCTGGGAGAGAGTGGAGATCTTGGATACAGAAAATTCCTAAAAATACAATTGGAAATTCCTAAAAATACGATTGGAGCCACTTGTTTGGCCACTGTACAGGAGGTCTGGATTGCTCAGCTGAATGGCTCAGGGCTCACCACAGCTCCTACATTGCCCATCCTGCCTCCAAGCAGAGAAAAAACAGAGGACCTGGCCATGTGTTGGGCATTCAGCTGGAATGGTCATTTCTTATGAGGAAAGGCAATGCTTACAGGCCCTGCTATTCCCACTGCATATCCAATGAAATGTCCAGAGTGTGGAGACAATGATGCCAGCAAACACTTCTCTAAGCAGACAGGGCTGTGGATGATTCCTATGGCAGTGTCCCAGATCAGCATTTCCATGAGAAAGCATGAAGGGTACCTGCAATATGGGGCTGCAGTCATGTGTAGGAAACCTGAGGGAGATTTTGAAAGAACAGGAGTAATCAGAACAGAGAGGGAGATCACAAGAAAAATGAAACAGAAAATAAAGGAAAGGTGGGCAGACAGTTGCCAAAGAATAGGAAAGCAAATGCCTAGAAAAGGAACCTGAGGAAAGGAAGGGGAATATGTTGAGTGACTGAACAGAATGGCCAAAATAGAGAAAATATGATTAAGAGGCTAACTAGAAGGACAACAGGTCTCAAGTTTCTCATGCACAAGGTTAGTGCATTGCTGGGGTGGTCTCTGAGAGCGTGGGGAAGTGGAAATAACTATTGAGACAATATCTCACAGAGAATTCAATGGCCAGTCCTCCATACTGCTTGTACTTGAGATTCTTCAGTATCGCCTTGCAGCAGCCTTGGCCACTTCCTTACTGCAGAATGATGATTTACAAATATGGATGCTGCAAGAGATAAGCAGGTTACAGTGAAGAGTCCGGCTCTGTTGAAACCCCAAGGCCCAGCTTCAGTCCTGGGGATGTGATGGAAATGTCACACCAAGACAATTTCCAGGAAATGTGACACGCCTTCTGAAAATATTCAAGATTACAAAGTGACTTAGAACATCAGGGTGTTTTTTGCTTTCACCACAAGTGGAGTGAGTTTGAAATCAGCATCCTGACATAACCATAAAAATTAATATAGAAGGGCTGATTAGTAACAAAATATTACCACATTTCCCTTTTTCTTGAGTTTGTAAGAATTTAATTCAGTTTTAAAATTATCCTTAGTACTATCTGTTAGCAGGAAAATTGCTGCTACAAAGTTGCACTGCTCAGCAGTGCTAAAGCAAATGAAAATTTAACCAGAGTTGCTTCTTCATGTAGAAAAAAAAAATAAAAAAAGCTGGGAATAGAGAAATCTTTTCCAAAGATTTTTAACCTCCTTGGAGAAAAGGAAAATTGTCAGAAGATAAGCAATGTTTGGCAAGAGCTGATGCCAGTGTTTGACTAGCTTTGCTCAGTCCTCCATACCACATGAACGAATGTAGAGTCATCCTTTGCAGGTGCTCACACTTCCTTAGAAATTTAAATTGCCTACAGTGTTCTGGAACATCTGACTCCTTAGTTTCTGACCCTGAAGCAAGATAAAATTTGAAGTAGACTATTCTGTACAGATGGAAACCTCTAAGACCAGTGGGAGTTATGTAGTTGGAAAAGTGGAGACCCATTTGTGACAGGAATAAACACTGTGGTGCCCTGACCTTGGCTGGCCACCAGCCGCCCACCAAGCTGCTCTCTCACTCCCCCCTCTTCCTTCTTCTCTACTTCCCCTCAGCAGACAATATACAGCCATTCCCTGGGACAGGGGGCTGCAGTACACATGGCAGTTTCTTTGGAAGTCAAATGTCTGGACAAAAATGCCTCATCCCATCCCAATCCTCCTTTCTCCCAGGTTTTACTGCTGAACATGATGCCATACGATACGGGATATCCCTCTAAGTTGGGGTCAGCTGTCCTGGACATGTTCCCTCCCAGCCTCTGGCTCACCCCTGTCCCACTGGCCTCTGCAGAGTTGGTGGGATGGGGCTGGAGAGGCAGCCCTGGGGCTGTGCCAGCACTGCTCAGCAGCAGCCAGAACACTGCTGTGTTATCAACACCAACCTAGCTGCTAATGCAAAGCACAGCATTGTGATATTCTCATGATCAGAAAGCAAGAAAACCTGCCTTTCTGATGGTACAGTTGGGATAGATATGTGGGAAAAAGTAATTGTCAGTCATGGTCTCTGCACTGAATACAGTGAGTGTATTTATCATCATGAGAGTCCATGGCCTCTTTATCTCAAACTACTTTGTTATGGGCAGTATCATGGCTATTCAGTTAGTTCAAAGAAGAGGTGCCTGAAGCACATCGTCTGCTTGGCTTTTCTAAAGAATATTTAAAACAAAATTAGGTTTTGCAAAACCAAAATACTTCAACATTATTTTCCTTTATTTTTTTTTAATATTCTCCTTTTTCCTTCTGAAGGTTTCATTGTCTCTTTCCAGAGAAGGAAATATGTTTGATACTCCTGGACTCATTTGTATGATTTTGTGGTATATGATGCTGTTTCATCCCTTGCATGCTGACATCCAGTGTATGGAGTGTAAGTACGTTTTTGCAGATATAATCTGAGAAACAATGTTTAACTCTCCATTTATCAGAGATGCTTGCAATGAAACTGGCAATTGCTATCTTAAGCCTGACAGGTATCATCCTCTGTATTCAACCAAGGCAATAGCATATCCTTACTGAACTTATGCTGCAACACTTTCAGCAGACACACAGGAATCACCTTTTACAAATGTGAGTGTGGACTGGAGAAAAATGGAACTGTCCTGGGAGAGCAGCAGGAACTTCTCTGAGTACAGATGTATCATCATGGACAGAGGCATGGAATATATAGACACAGAGGTAAACTTGCTATTCATTGAGGGAAATCATTGTTTTTATCAATAATTGTCCTTTTATCAATTTCACTTACATTGAAAAAAATGAATGTCACAGATAACATCTGACATTTGGCTGTTTGCAGTCTACAGCTTGATCTCTTGGGGGCTCTGGGAAGCCATCAGCAATGCCTGGGTGTATTTACTGTGAGATGAGCACCCAATGCATACTAAAGAATTGAAATTCTGACAGGAAGAAAGTGATAGCCTGAACTGCAGCTATGCTGAATCATGAGTAGGGATGTAGCTGCTGAAAAAAAGGGGCTGTGAGATAAAGTGAGACTTCTAGAGACTTTAAAGAGACATAGCAAGAGACGTCCCACAAAAAAAAAAAAAAAAAAAAAAAAAAAAAAATCCCAGAAACACTGCCGTGGATTATGGTTATCTTAAATTTTCCCAGTAAACTGGATCCTGCCTGTAGCACAGGCTATGTTATAAACCCACATTATAAAAAGAGTAAAATAGGAAGCTCAACGAAGATAGATGGTTTATTTAGCTTAATAAAGCAGGTGCCTTGGAAATACACAGTACAAAGCACATCATGTCTTTATTGAAGACTATATGTATAACACAACAGATACTTTTAACCCCTGAGCAGGTCAGATGAGGACTTTTGTTTTGCTTAATCCATCAATTAAATTTCTTTGTGGCTCCTCTATGTATTTGTCATTTTCTGTTATGCCACTCCTAAAATAGTTGCACACTAGTGTAGCATCCAACTCCTGAGCTGCAAAGCTTTTCGTGTAGTTATGTTTTTGATTCCTCAGTTCCATTCTATATCACCCTTGAGTGCTGAAGGAGAGAGCTATTTTTTGAACCAAAAACATGCATATACACAGAATTGCAGTCCTGAGTTGCACTTCCATAGCCAGCCTTATCTAACATCAGAAAAGAAAAAGCAGAGAAATAAAATACCATGTTCTCTTTACAGGTGGATAGTCCATTATGCAGCTTTCCACTGGAACTACACATGCCTATGCACAAAGGACTAACCTTTGTCATTGAAGTGCCAAACACAAACATCTCAAAACAATGCAGCTTTCTCCCTGGAGGTAATGTATGTGGTCTGGCTAAGGTTTTATATATTTACAGTCTTTGAAAGGTAAACACTGCCTTAGAAAACAGATACTTACATAGTAGGCAACTGCTACATTTTCTATTAAAAGCTTTTTTTCCAGATCTGTTAAAATTACTTGCTCTGTAATAAATGTCTCCATCATTCAGCAAGAGATGTATTACAACAAATGTATCCATAAGTGCAATATTCTCTTTTATACTAAGGCTCCAAAATGCTAATAAATTACAGTGGTTTAAGGGTGGAGTCAAATAAGTCTTCTGGCTGCTACAAATTAAGATGTCAGTATTTATTTATTGAATGCCTTTCTACTGGGCTGTTGATGAGTTTGTTGTGACCCATTTTGCCTTCCTTCTCAGCTCAGAGTTCTCCATTAAAATTCCCCAGCCACCAGGGGTGCAGCAGTTGTGTGTAACTGGGGTATTTCAGACATGACAGAAGTGATGGATTAGCAGCTTTCTCATGTCTGAGCACAGAAAATGCTCACTGCTCTTCTCTTCCTGTGGATTTGTCAGCAGAAACCTTCATAGCGACCCTCAAAATAGGAGCCAGAACACCCAAAACTTCAGTGTGTCTCCCCTGCCTTCCAAGTGTGCAGCTTTCCCACAGGATTCCCCTGCTCTTCCATAGGGTTGCCCTCTTTATTGGGCACTGGAGAGGGATGGAGTCAGTAGCACAGGAAGTCTCCATGCTCTCACTGGATTTAGGACATAGGACAGTAAGAAGCAGAAAAGTGGTTGAAGAAGAGGGGAAGAGGCTGAGCATGCCTGCACAGCCCAGCCATGAGGAACCTCCAAAAGCAACGAGGTTCCTGTTTCAATGTGCTCCAGAAAAGCAAAAGAACAAGTCACTGTCACTCACATGAAAGTGGAAAGAACTAAGGAGGAGCCTGCTTGATTGGAGAGCAGGAAAAAGTCTAACCTCACTTTAAGAGTCTCAGCTTTTTAAATCCTCTGTGTAAACACGTCAGGAGTAGTTTCCTGGGTGTAATTGCAAAAGGAGAAATATTTATCTCTGCAGGAGCATGGATGATATTAAAAGGCCATGTGCCTTCCTTTGCTTGTGGAATTCTTCACTGAGGTTTCACAGTTCAGAGCCAGTTAAAGTGGAGTGAGAGTAGAGTTTTCTCTCAGTTGTTACTCCTAACCCAAGCAATAGCAGCAGGTGACTAACATAGCTGAGTGTGCGCCATGATCCTCCAGCTTGGAGGACTCACATGAATTTTCCTCACCATGGATATTCCTGTGTTTGCAGGGATGAAGGGCTCAGCCATTGAAAACTTCTCCTGTGTGATTTATAACATCTTCCTCATGAACTGCACTTGGCAGGCAGGAAGGGATGCTCCAGCAGACACACAGTATTTTCTCTACTGGCAGCAGTCAAGGTAAGTCAAGGTCTGCTTGAGACAGGGAAGTATGAATTCTCACTCAACACATCACAGTGCTCATGTTTAACTAAAATACTTTGCTGTGTGCAGAGATGAAGAGGACATGGAATGTGAGCATTATATTCAAGATGAAAATTTCAGAAATGTGGGATGCATCTTCCAAAACGTGAGCATAGGGACTGAAAAAGCTTACTTCCTGGTGAATGGGTCTAGCAACAGCTCCCTGATACAGTTCTATGATGAGTACATTGACCTGTATAAAATTGGTAAGTAATTGAGCATTTTACTTTATTACTCTTTTATAAAATAAGGAAGTGGGGAATTTTTCTTGAAAAGCATATTAAAACAAAGTCTGCAGCTGTTGTAGGATCTGCACTGCAGGGCAGACTTTGCTTCCAACAGCTGACAGAATACAGCTCTAAAACTTGACTAAAACAAGCAGAGGCAGCCTGAAAAAACTGCTGAGACAAGAGGTGTGCACATAGTCAAGGATTCCAAGTAATGAAACACAATGGTTAGATTTTTAAGGCCACCTCTCCTAAGGGCTTATTTTACCATCCCATAATTTCACACCTCTCTGAGAGCCACAAGAGCTACATGTCCTAAAACCAGAGTGAGGTTCAGCTTCCAAATTAAGACTCTGTTAGTTAAATATGTGGGTACCTCTCTGAGTTAGGTGTTTAAGCCCCAAGAGAAATCAGGTCACACTCAGTCAACTATATTATAGGCACTCCAATTCAGATGTCTTGAATGCATAATGAATAATACCACACACAAAAAAACTTCCTTCCTTTTTCCTATGGAAACTTGCATTGTCAATGTAAGGTTGGAAAACAGATGTACAAGAAAATGGCACTCTGCTGATTGCACTAGTGAATTACACAAAATCTTTCATACCTTTTCTTTACATGAGTTTCATTTACTTCAGTTGTCCAAAAACTGCAGTGATATATTCTCAAGTTTTGGTTAGGTATTTTACTGCTGTTTACCAGATAACTTCAGTTAGCACCAGCAGCCCACAGTTGTACATCAGCTGCCTCACCTTCACATGCATTTTGCTCTGAGTTGTAGCTGCTTACTGACCATGCCTATATTAATTATTCCATTTTTTCCCCAGAAATACTCACTGCTCCACTAAATGTCACTGCCCATTGTACCAGAGATCCTATGAGTTGCATAATTATGTGGCATCCACCCCTTACAAGTCATGTGGAAAACACAAAGTGTTTTCAGTATGAAATTAGTATACAAAATAAGGTAAAAAACAATTTCTTGGTTTGTGTTTGGTACCGTACCTATGCTCATGCATCTCTATAATATGCACATTTCTGACTTCTTTATTTTTTAATTTTTCTCTCATAAGCTGTAGTTTCCTCCTGCTACAGTATTCCTGGTCTCATATCCCACCTGTCATGAACTTCTGCAGCTCAGGAGCTTACCATGGCAGCAACTGCTCAGCCACAAGACCATTACAGGAAAGACCAGCTAAGGGTTAAACATAAATATACAACTGCAATAAAGCAACACATCATAAATCTCATTTTTTTTATTAAAAACAAGACCAACAGCTTGCAGGCTGTTTGGATTACCTGGATTCTGTATCCTTCATGCATTAATAGTATCTACCTGTTGGCACAAGGAGCAATTGAAGCAATGCTGCTTTCCAGCTGGTTGGCATAATTGACAGTAAGATCTTGTGTGAAATGCTTATGAAGTTCTACATGAATATATAGATCACAATATAGCAATATTGCCAAAACATTTATTTGAAAGAAATACATGTTAAGTCTTGTTTCCTGTGCCATAATTATAATGGGTGGGGTTCAGTGCAGATTTCTATATTTGAGTAGGAAATTCATCTCCTAGGCTGAGACACCTTAATGTAGGTGTCTGCACAGGAGCAGGGATATCTCCTAAGGGTCAGTGCCCATCAGGGCTCCCTGCTGTGGAGCAGCAGGTGCCTCTCAGCCCTTGAGGTGCTGAAGGCACCAGCAGCACTGACATAGAGATGGCAGCTACAACTCACACCTTCCAGGAGGCACCAACAAGGCAAGACAGATAAAGCAGCACTACACACCTAAAGTTTAGGCAACTCATTTGCACCCTGCTCGTTCCCAGCACAGGCTGATGAGTTCCATCACATCCTAAGCTAAAAGCACTCAGCTGACAGTGAGTGATGGGGAAATGCTAGTCTGCTTTACAGTCAAAGACACACTGTGGGTGTATTTTCTGTAATGAGACATTCCTTCCAGTTATACCTTTCTGACTTTTCCATAATGCTGGCTATGCTGATATTACATGTGATAGATGTCTCCAGGACCTCGGCTTTTCTGAGGACCTCTGAGATCATTGCTGTTGAATTTGTTCACTCATTTTTGAACTTATCCTTTTCTTAAAAATTTTCAGGTTCTTTGATCCAGGTCAATGTTTGATTCAATTTAATTAAATTTTGATTGCACAGAATGTGTAAGCAGCTCTTCACAGAAAGCCCCTGGGCATGGATAAGTCTAACAGAGACTTTGACAGGAAGGAGGGCAAATTCACTATTCACGTCAGTTTTCACAAACTATTGTGAAATCACAGGTTCCAGATCTGCTGTGTTTGTAGGATGATGTGATTGCTTGTGTAATTTGGATATGTATGAGAACGCATAGTGTATATAAAAAATACACTATGTATTTTTTAGTAGTAAATACAGCTTCTCACATCTACTGATAAATAATTAATATTTCCTTCCTTTTCTAAAAGGAAATGTAGGAAGACAAAACTGAATAAAATTCAGGGACATTACTGGAGAATACTATCTGATTGATTTTTCAGTTGAAAATAACTTATGGTCTTCAAAAGCAAGAAAATGAGAACAATCTAGAGAAATATTTGATTGATAAAAAATAATAAAAATTAAGATTTGTCTTTGTTTTGCAGGATGAGCCCACAGAAGAGAAAAAGCTTCCTTGTGTAAGTATTCTTGTCACATACCAATTTGTACTTTTGCCTACTTAAGCATGTAAATACCGTTACAGAAAATACACTTACTTATAGAACTGCAGGTTTTGTATCAATGTAGCAATGAGAATTCAGAAAAATATGTTCCTGTGATATCTTTAACTGTAAACCTAATATATCCATTTTGGATGGAGTAGGCAAATTTTTCCATGCATTTCACAAAACTTCATACATTCCATCCATTGCACAAATAGATTTTTTTAATGACAGATGTGACATTTTGCTTGCTAAAAACCTAAAACACTCTTTCTCATTGGAATAATACCACTGATAGCTCAGGACAGCTAGGCAAAGGGAGCACAACAATCTTCAAAACCTGGGGAATTTAATAAATACTGTCAGTCTGCCCTCAACAAATGAGTGGTCTTCTAAGCCTTGGAAGAGCTTGACAGATTCCAGACTTTGTATAAAGTATTATGAGGCCAAATATAATTTATCTGTTATTGTATTCTCTCAAGAACATGAAATCTTTTTAGCAATGACCAACACCATCCATGCCTGTTTAATCTCCATGAAGGTTGCAAGGGGAGTTTACAGGGTACTTCTCCAACTTCTGCTTTGTGTCTTCAGATTTCAGTCTGATCACTCTCCTTTTAGGTAAGGAATGACAGATATGAATTCCAAAATTACAATGAGAAAAAAAGATACACTCTGAAAATCAGAGCAAGTGGAAAAAACTGTCTTGTCAGCTCAGACTGGGGGGAATGGAGTGAACCCATTGAGTTTGGTAAGACCATGAATTTTTTTTCCAGTATTACCTTGTTTGCTTCCCTTTCTTCCTTATAGTCACAGAAATGAATAAAATCTTAATTTTTACCCAATTACATTGAAGGAACTGAATGGATTTTATTTATGGGAGGAGTAGCTCCTCCCAATAGTCTGGCAGCAGAGCCTTTGATTAGCTGGGATTGTGAAGGCAGCAGCTGCTCAGATGCCAGGGCCACAGAAACAGAGACAGACTTGCTGGGATTGATAAAGTTAGAGGGTTTTGAGAAAATGGTTAAAAAGGGTAGGCTTTAGGTAGAAGTTTTGTTAACGTTGCTAATGCAGCGAAAAGTTTTCTAAGCAGTAGAGCAGACGTGACAAACAGCACAATAGACTTCAGATTTGCCCCATCTCCATGCGTTTATAAATACCAGCCAGCAGCAAGACCCACCCTTGTCCTTGGTCTGCTGTGATGAGGCTTCCTCTCTGTTATCTTTTTACATGAATATAATCCTCTTCCTCCTCCATCTTTCTTTTCACTAATTTTGCTCTATTAACTGTTCTGTAAGTCTCTTTATTCTTCTCTTTTTCCAGAATAAAAAAAAAATCTCTAATTTTAAATATCTGAAAAGGTTTAAAATGTATCAAATCCCTCTGCATTTTTGACAAAATTCTATAATGAAGTCAAGTTGAAGTCCTTCAGAACAGTATAAAAATGTAGTGAAATTCTCATTCCTTACATCATAACAGTCACAAAGGCAGATTTTTCCTATGCTAAAATATTTCTCTCTCTTGCCTGTTTCAGGTCAAGGGAAAGATTACTTTATTTTTGTGATTTTATTTCTGATTGCACTTGGAACTATCTCAATTACACTTCTCCTGTATTGTCTTCTCAAAAGGTAAATCAATTTTTTTCTGCAGACACGTCTGACAAAGTATTGTCTATATGAAACACATTCCTACAACCTCCTACTTTCCTACCTGCAAATTAAAATAATCTGATTATCAATGTCATGAAATATTACCACCAGGATAGCTGTGGATGGCCCTTTGGCATGCAAAATCACTAAGTGGAAAAAGGGGGAAAGGATGTTGAAGTTATTAAGTGATTGATTCTACCAGATCCTACAAAAAGCTTTTTTGTTCTTATTTTTAAGCATTTAACATCCAGGTAGCTTTGAAGCCAGTGGCTGTATGCAGTACCAGACAAAAGGGAATCGAAATTAACATATTCTTATTTAGAGAAAACTTCTCACTCAGGGGTGAAAGTTCTGTCACATGATTTATTCAAAGTAATTTATTAATAACTTATTTACTGTGATTTTAATCACAAAATTAATTTTAATCACCCAAATGCTAAGTGTAATAATAGTTACCCACCAGTTACCCAACTGAAAATATTTTATTTCTCATTTAATTTGTAGAGCAATAGATATTCAATCTTGAAAGTAAAAAATGTCCTTAAGTTACACCACAAAATGTTTGTGTAAATTATATTAGCAGTATTTTCAATTTCTCCACAATCCCATTTTCTACCCAAAGGTACTGCAGTTTCAAGAACCTATTTCCTCCCATACCACAACCAAGAGACAAATTCAATGCATTAACTGATGAAGATATCCAGGTACGATTTCTTCTCAATTCAGTCAAATTTGTTAACTCTAAACCACAACAGGCCAAAGACTAGAAGAACTGAACTTACAAAAATTAAGTGTTAACATTTGGTCCAAAACTAATTTCTGTTACATAAGCTATTCTGCTTTGAAACCTGAAATGATCTACACCAACACTGAAACAAAAGATTGTCCTGGAGGTATTTGCAGACATGATATTTGCAGACAAAATTTATACTTTTACTGAGTGTAAATTTACTGTAATTTCTGTGTGTACCAGCTTTACAAGGTTGCTGCTCATACTTTAAAAGGACCCAAAGTGAACATGCATTTTCCATTAGCATTTTCAAACACCAATAGTCATAATATAATGTGAATATATATTTCATAAATCTGACCTATACCTATGTAAAAATCCTGTCACACTTAGTGCAAATCAACAAGGCTGGAAAGACCTAAGAGTTAAACTAACCTTCCTCTTGCTTCAACACAGGATTTGCAATTTCAGGCTTTTGTGTAAATTGTATTTGACCAATATACTGTAGTATCCCTGTGCAGCCTATTCTGCATGTTTATTTAGCCTTAAAAAAGCCTTTTAATAGCTTGGTTTAATGCACCTAAAATCCATTACTTTTTACCCTTATTCCTTTCCTGTTTACAGTATCTTACACACTTGCACGCTGTCAACAACAAGTAACTCTTCTGTCCATCTGCACACATCACGACAACCAGGCTTCAAACCATTCATGCTTGGCTAAAGCAAAGACATTCTTGAAGTCAGTAAATCAGGTTAGTCATTAATTGCCTCAGATTCAGTGGGCAACACCATGCTTTCCAATGAGGATTCCAAAAGTGACACATATATTTTCCTTCAATTGTTTACAAAGAATCCCCAAATCTCTGACTACTAAAACTCTCCAGTTTTGGTAACTATATACCATCTTGCTGTCCTGATTAATTTGTGTTTGGCCCTACCACCTTTGGCTTTCACAGAAAGTAGGTAGGACTGTGACTTAGATAGGTTTCCTCATACACCTTAAGTCATAAATACCTGGTTTCTCACTTCCTACCAGGCAGCCAGAGCTAAGGCTACAGAGCAGCAGCAGCAGTCCACAGTCCATCACATTAAATACTATAGCTAGAAAAGTAACAAGCCCTTTTTGTAAAATTGCATAGTGATTGCTTGCTTTTCCTGAACTTGAGTGGCTTCCAAATTCCTGTGCATAGACACTACCAAAGACACTCAAATCATTCCCCTACAACCCAGAGGCCTTTGTGGATGAGGTTTGCAGTCTGTGGCTCAGGCACTTCCACGCAGGGAGCAATGCAGCAGCAGCAGCTGCCTGAGTTAAATGAAGCCCTCACATTACCTAACACTGGCCAACCACCGCTGTGAAGATAATTCATACAATTTTGACACGTTTAAACAGCTTGATCTACTCTTAAAATCTAATTTTATTTTACCTCTTCTCTCCAAAGTCAGTACCTTTAACATTGATTGAATGTTGTAATTCTTTAAAGTTATTTTAATAACACAGTACAAAAAGTACATTTTCAAAAGCTCTCCTCCACTGAATAGCAAACACTCTCCCTGACATTTAGTGCTAATGGATTTTTGAGCTGTTTTGAAATGTGCAGTATCCTTTGCTAATCACACCTTTTTAAATTTTGCATTTCCTCATTTTCCCTCTATTTACTCAATGACCTTTCACATTTTCTAATTCTTTTCTCCAATTACATAACTTTTTCTGAGATAGCTGGAAAAGCTCATGATTAAAAAACCTAACTTTCTGCACTGCATCCTTAAAACACTCACATTAAAGAACTGCCAATTTTATTTGCTTTAAGATCCTACCAAATCATTCAGTGCATCAGACAACTTGCACTCCTCTAATCCATTCTATTTTACTCATCTTACTACGGACCAATGATTTTCTAGTCACTCTCCTAATTTGCTTTCCTCACCATTACAGAGTTTTATCATCTCTTGCTTGGAGTTAAATATAGTCCAAGAACTTGCAAGATACACTCTGTGCACTTTCCTTGGAGAACAGTAAAGTAGCCCAAAACACCATGACCACAAAGCCCTGCAGAGCTTTACCCATTCTTCAGCTTTCCTCAAAAAGAAGTTTCCAGAACACCCTGGTTTGATGTTCCACAACATACCCTCAGTACAAGAGCAAGCTTGCTTTTTTACCCTGTTTTTTCCATCCTTTTTTCTTTTTTTTAGTTATTTATCTTCCCTCAAAACTTTAAACTCCAAGTGCTCTATGAGTACTACAATCTTACCTAGCAGCAGGCACTCTCCTAGAACCCCAGGTTAGCCAATGTAAAAATGTGTGATAGCAACCAAAATATTTTATCTACATGCCAAGCCAATGCTTACATATGGAAAATTCAGCCAATACTGACTGAATAAATTCCTTCTATTTTCTCAGCTAAGGTTGCCCAGTGTCTAAACCAGCTTCTATTCTTCCTCCTGCTGACAGCTAGTACTGCTCAGATATATTGAAACATTCCTTAACTGTCCTTAAAACTGTTTTCTCCTGCTTTGCAATCATTTATTAAGTATTAAAAGACCAAGATGGGATGCCTTTGGTACTGCTGAAACTAATGTTCAGAATGATACCAACTTGTAGCCTACTGCATGACACAAAATTTTCTTTCCCTTCAGACGGAATATGTAAATCTACCAACAAAAAGTCATACTGAGAAAATAACTACAATTGAGGAATGATTCGACTTTCCAAAACACAGCTGATTCCCCAACATGAAAGAAAATTATGGACCCTGCTGACAAGTACTTCAAACCAGTCTATAAAAGAATAAAATCACCTATAGAACCTCCTTAAAATCCACTTAAATGGAGCAGATAAAAAAAAGGGAGAAAAGTCAGTGAAATTTGTTCCTTTCCTTTTGTTCAAACCCACAATGCCTGGCAACTAAGCTTTTCTGCAAGCACCTACTTTGAAGAAGTGCTTGAACCTTGCTAAGAGGTTCTTCACAATGTGAGACAATGTGAGCCCTCTTAACCAGAATGAAGCTGCTACTTCTTGTCTTCATTGCTATGAAGCTTCTTGCCTCTCATTATAATGATTTCCTGTAGGCTGACAGCCTTGCTGTATAATGCCACAGCAATTATACTGTAATTTTTGTATGCCCAGTTATTTTCTAAAGCACAAGCCAGCTATTTAGAATGCGTTAAAATTTGCTCTTTGGTCTTCCAATCAGTACCACCAAACTATCCCAATATGTGCAATTAAGTTTATGCAAGAACAAAAAATAAAATTATACTTGCCAAATGTAATTATTTATACTGGTCTTAGTCAGCCATTTCATGAGCTCAGTATTGCAACTGTAAATAGACCTCTGCAACACTGTGATCCTGTGCAGTTTTAGTATGTACTTCAGTAACACAAATAGCATTGAAAGCCTTCAAAAAAATCTAACAGTTGTGAGAAATGAAATAAAATTTAATATTTAATGGCTAGATCTTAAATGTAAAACTTCCTCACAAATGCATTTTAGTTTCTCCCTTCAAAGGGTGCAAATGCTACTTCCAACACCTTTTAAAAATAATATAGGCTTTAGATGCCAGTATTTTCTTTTAGAAATGCTGGATGTTTTCCTGTTTATACTATTCAAAATGAATGAATTCCAGTGTTTCAATAAGACAGAGAACAAATGTTTTTTTTTAAAAGTCTCATTTATTGTTTGCCTCTTACATCCCTAAACTGCATCACACACTGGAAATTGCTGCTGCATGACTAAGGGAAGCCATATATTAAAAATAAAAAAAATCTGAACACCACAAATTAGTTCATATTCAATGTACAGCATAAGGAAATTGCAGTTCGAGTTTAACTCTGTGTCCTGGTTTAGAGCCAATTTGGGAGGTTTTGTTTCTTTTCCTATTTCTTTTGGTTAAGCCTTGTTCTGAAGGAGAGATTGGGTGTGAAAGTCCTTCCCTGTCAGGGCTGCTGAAGAAACCACATTTGGCTTCTCTCACAAAGCTTGGGCTCGCTCACAGGGAGGTATCCCATAATCATCTCTACCCTTGCAAGGCACTGATACAGAAAGAAACCTGATTAATGCTTTTTTTATAGACAAAATGTCTACCCCTGCTCCCTCAGAGAACTGACTGGCAGGGTTAACACCAAATGCCCTGCCTGCACAAGAGGGAGCTGCTACTGCCACATAGGATGCAAGAACCACTTGCAGTAGGTACATGAAGTTTGCCAGTAGCCTGTGTACAAAGTAGCTGTGTAATGTCCTTACATTCACATACAGATGTTGAAAGCAGTGCTTGTGCAACAGTGAAAGGAAAAAGTACACTCAGGAGGAAGGTAATAACCAGCCAAAGCCAAGCAGGTAATTTAAATACTTGATCTTGAACAGCAATCTCAGAAGGCACACAGAAGAACTCAAGACAGCTCAGTCAGCCTTCAATGAGCCATACAGTGACACTTTTTCTTTCTCAAGATATAGGGAGAGCTCCTTAAACATGAAAATTAACACCTTGTTTTCCTCTACTGGTCCCTCTAGGATACCTTTGCAGATTACAAAGTACAAAAGATTATATACATATGAAGAACTGCACATAGGTATTACATTATCTCAAAGAGCAGTTATGAGAAATTACTCAATCTGGTCTTCTGACCATCCCTAAACATCAATCAATTAATACTGAAGGCTGACCTACTCTGATCTATTATTTTACAGCTACATAGAAGCACACACATTCCCTCCCCCACAACCCTTCAACTTCACCTATTGGGATGCAACTCATTTCAGATTAAATTCAAGCTTCCACAGAGCCACTGACCACTGCTACAGATGAGGCCAAACAGTGCCTGAATGGCACTATCAATATTTCCAACCCACAGCAACAATACAATACATAGGTCACTCAGAAGTTGAAGGCATTTACTGGGTTCCTGGGTTTTTGCATGAATGCCATGATGCTTTCCATACTGATTTGACAAAAAATTTTTTATTTCAGCCTGTTTTACCAAGGGCAAGAGCGTTGCTCTTTAACAGTCCTTGGTACTTTGGGTTTTCCTAGCACTACAACTGAACCCCCACCCTATAATTTTAAATCATATAAGTTGTAAATAAATTGCTAAGAATCATGCAAAAAGCCACTTGCAGCAGCCCATCATACACCATCAGGCACAAAGAATGGGAGTGGTTTCTATTAGTATAACCCATGCTTGCCCACCCCTCCTCTCTAAAGATCTCACATTTAATTATTTTTTAAAAAGCTTATTTGTGTAAAGGTATCAGAGAACCCATAATCTGAAACAAGTTTTGAAATACAAGAGGCTTTTCCAAAGCTTTTATGTAATAATTTCAACACAGACCGAGTAAGTATGTTTATTGTTTTACAGCAGAATGCCCCAATTTAAGAACAAAGTTGCTAGATGTTCAGCTGTGCAAAATGGTACATAGTGCTTCAGTACAAGTGGAAAAAAACATGATTTGTTAGCAAATGCTTTCAAATACAATTTTATGGTCCTATAAGATAGGACTTGAAACTGAAGACTGATCCACAGGCAAATGATAGTTTTTCTGCCTAAATTGGACCTAACAACTTTGGACCCAGAACCAACGCCACTCATTCCTTACTGCTGTAAAGAAAAGCTGTCACACTGAATTGCCAGATTCAGTGTTTACATGCGTGTTACAGAGAAGTGGATCAGCCCTCTATGTCAGTTTCTAGCCCCATCTACAAGTATCATCTGGCTCCGATAAATAAGACTCACAGGAATTTCTTGAAGGTCAATGGTCCATAATGGTAGTTATTCTACATGATCTGCTCAACTTGATTTCCAATTCTATTTAGGCTGTTTAAATTACTTTCTTGAATTCATCGTACAGCACAAGCACGAAAGCACCCCCCATGCCTCTGAGAACATTAGACCATGCACCCTTGAAGAAGGCCTTTCCTCCTTCATCCCTTGCAATCTTCCGCCAGCAGTCAATTGTTCCAGAGTACATGATATCAGCTGCAGGAAAAGAGCAAAGAGTTATTCTTAATCCCTAGTTCATCTCCGGTAATTTTAACAACTGCCCTGGTTTCATTTAACTGCTTTGGATGTCCCAAACCACAATTTAAAACTGTAACACAATATTTACTAAAAGTATTATGCCTTTTTAATATCTTTGTTTAATCTAACAATTCAAAGGCAGTCCATTTTTTTAATTTCACATTCCATAATGAAAAATCCTCAGCATAAATCCTGATAATCTCAGGTTGAGCCTTACTGCATTTTCTCATTTGAGTACAATATAACAAGCCAGATTTATGGAACAACGAATTGTAACTCAGGATGGCTACTAGTAAAAAGACAACTCCATTGTTAATGCTGTTTTACAAAGCATTGACAGCTGTGTGGATTTGCTGCCTACCTCCTTTGCGTCCTGACTGCATCATCATGCGACGCCGCACTGTGTCGAAAGGATAGGAGACCACGCCAGCCACAGCAGTCACTGTCTGGGCAATCATCCAGCTGATAACAATGTGAGTATTCCTGGGATCTGGGAGCATGCCTGCAGTAAAACAAAAACAGCAATTAGCTTTTCACCTTGCACATCCTCCTCTGATTCACTCCCTGCATGACAGCTATTTTACTAGATAAACTAGTATAAAACACTGTAGAACCCATACTCTAAATAAAACTGCAGCAGAACACTTCACAAACTTTAAACATACTGACGCCATATTTACAAGGCTTTCTTCTCAGTAATCACAGTAGGTTACAACTTAAGCACAAGCATTCTTTTTAGACTGGCATGAGAAGACTTGACTATTCACTATGCTTTTAGTAAAGAACCATCACTAAATTAAGTCACAGTCCCTGTGGATAACATTGCATTACAAACTAGCATCAATGGCTTATTTCCCCACATGTCAAGCTTAAAAATTACTTTGCAAAACCACTGTCCAATCCCATTCAGCTACAAACACTTGGACTGGTCCAGTGTAACTTCAGTATGCACTGAACAAAAAAGAAATTATTCTAATAGCATCTGGTTAGCAACATACTCTCCTGGCCTTAGGAGCAACTGCTTGAAGTACAAAACCAGCACTTGCAGGTAGGCTGCTGTGATTAACACAAGTTTTCCCTTGTGTACAGCAGTGTCACAGATGTAGCACCGATATTCCCCTTCACCTTCAAATATCCAAAACCAGACAATACAATTCTAAAAACAGGCTTTCCAGATCCCCTCTGAAGTATTACCTTTTGCTGTATCATAGATCCCAAAGTAGGCAGCTCTATAGATGATGATGCCTTGGACAGAGACATTGAACCCTTGGTACAAGCCACGCACACCATCAGACTTGGTGATTTTGACTAGACAGTCCCCGAGACCAGAGAATTCTCTGTCTGCACCAGCTTTTCCGACATCAGCAGCCAGACGGGTTCTCGCAAAATCCAGGGGGTAGACAAAGCAGAGGGAAGTGGCTCCAGCTGCACCACCAGATGCCAGGTTACCAGCAAAATACCTCCAGAACTGAGTGTGCTTGTCTACACCTCCCAAAAACACCTGCTTATACTTATCCTTGAAGGCAAAATTAAGAGCTTGAGTTGGGAAGTATCTGATGACATTTGCCAGGTTTCCTCGCCAGAAGGACAGCACTCCTTGTTCCTTTGGAATACGCACTACACAATCGATGATACCCTTGTACTGCTTATCAGCAGCAATCTGTTTGCTTGCATGTTGCACCTGCAAATAAAAACACAGATATTGATCACTTGTCCTGACAGGTCTATGCTGCAGCTGGGCTTAAACCTGCTTCCACTATAAAACAAAGTTGTTCATTCTGAGTGGCCATTGTTGTTATTTTAAAGAAAAATTCTTAAAATTGCTTCCAAGCTTTCTCAGAAATCAGGACTTGGCAAATCAAGAATAGAAAACCGCAAGCAATTCCTCTATAACTTCCTGAAAGGAGACCGCAGCAAGGTAGGGGCCAGCCTCTTCTCCCAGGCAATTAGTGACAGGACAAGAGTATACAGCCTCAAGCTGTGCCAAGGAAGGTTTAGGGAGAACTAGGGGAGGAATTTCTTCAGACAAAAGGTGATTGGACTTCGGAATGGACTGCCTAGGGACTGGTGAAGCAACCATCCCTGGAGGCGTTTAAGACTGGACATGGCACTTAGTGCCACAGTCTACTTTAAATTAGACTACGTGGCATTAGGTTGGGCTCCATGATCTCCCTGAGGTCTTTACCAAACTGACAATGAGGTGCAAGGGCAAGTATAAGACAAATACATCGAGCATACCTAGAGGTGCGAGCCTTTACTGACAAAGACGGGCCTTTGGTGGGAATCGCCTGAGAGAGCCGCGTTAGGCGACAGAGCTGCCAGCCCGAAGTACAGGGGCTGAGGGTGAGGGGGGAGCGGCCAGCCCCAGGGCCAGCCCCGGGCC